TGTGTTTTGGGAGATATAATTCCTGTATTAAACACATGGGATTGAAAAGGGAATGATGAGAACAATGCGAATTTCAATAAAGATGACGAGCCTCCCTGAAAGGCAGCCACACACAAGTACAGTTATATGCATCATTTTGACAATAAGCTTGCTCCCAGTGGGTTATTGTGAAGAAAAAGGCTGCACAGATATTAACAAATGAGAAAGGACACTACAGCATTGAGTACCAGAGAGGCCCACCATTCACAGCTTTTTCAAGTGCAGTTACCTTAACCTCCTGCTAGGATCAGTGAAAAGCAATGAGCACCTTCTCAGCTGTCCCTTCGTGGCCTATGGAGGGATCCCAGGGATCCCCAAAATTAAGTGAGGTGACCACAAGCAGTAGCACTTGGTGTTGCAGGCATACACTGGTCTGACTGCAGGGACTACTGGAGTGTGGTGACCCTTGTGTGCTTACGTGGAGGCACATGTTGGAAGTAGCATCACACATCGTTAAGATTCTGGACATTATGGTCTCCTTACCCATAAGTCCTGCATACATTTCAGCACATTTTTATTTGTGTAGCTCTTTGGAGTTACACAATGCTCAGTTACCCTTGAACACCTATGTAAATGGCATGCAGTTTTCTGCAAAAGACTCTGCTCTAGAGTCCTGTACCAATACTATCTTCTCTCCCTAATCCCCATCGATGAGAAAGTAGTGGTGGTCCCAAGAACTGATGTCATTAATCTAATTCATCAAATACCTTAAAATAATTTTTATGTTATTAAATAATAACACAAATTGCCATTAGTAATAGGATGCTATTGTCGTAGACAGAATTAGTTTTCAAAGAAGCTCTATGAGATCATTGTTAAACCTCTTTTAGAGACTGGGAAACAAAGCACAAAATCATTAACTAACTTGCCTAAGACTGAAGATCAGCGTCAGCCAGAACTGGGGCTGGCTTCAAGAAACTAATCTTGATTTAAAACCCAAGCCAAATACTTTCAATCCAGGCACCCAAGCACCATAAGGAGGATCTGCAAGTTTACAAAAGCTAGACTAAACATGAAAAAATTCTTCACTTATTGTTATTTTCTTGGGAGGAGTCATGTTCCCAAGCTTTTCTCTCATGACTACAAAGTCTGAAACCCTACCCTTAGTTCCTTCCCCTACATGTATTCAAAAATATTGATGCAATCACATGATCCAAGGCTTAAGAGAAAAGCAAATACCTATGGGGGAAAAAAAAAATATCACACAAACCAACAATATCAGGGCTGCCCTTTAGCAAAAGCTATGCTGGCAACTAGAGTGCCAAAAAGATTTCAGTGAAGGCGGGAAGGGTATTTCTGGGCAAAACTGAAGCATTTTTTAAGTGTGTCTATGTAGTGGTGAACGTAATGAAGTTCTCAGTGCAAAGACTGAGAACACAACATTTTGTGTTACACAGTGGAGAAACAAAGTCTCGTGTTTGTAGAAAGAGTGATGTAACATCTACGAGTTGTGACTTCCTTTCGCTGCCAACAATCTTCTAATTGTACATGTAATTGTCAATAATGACAGAGGCCAGAACATGAATACTCTGCATATGTTCCCATGTGGTACTCTCAAAGGAAAACTTACTACTCCAAAATTCTCTCTCTGCTCCTACCTTCAATAGGACAGATTTTCAGCCGTTGCACATTGACATGCCCTGTTAATATCAATTCACATGAACTGGTAATTCAATCAAAAACCAAATTACTTTTATCCTAAAATGGGAGTATATTGTTCTAGACCTCCAAATCTTCCAGGAGCTAAGACAGGCCACCATAAAAGCAAGGGTTATAAACTTGAATTTATTATAGACAAACAAGGCTTTGGCCTATGAATTCTCTTTGCCAATTAAGTTAATGAGCCTTGACAAAACAATCATCTGAGGAGTAGCTGACAAATTATCTGGAGCAGCAATTTGAAAGGCGTTGGCTGGCTTACAAGCATATCAATTGGGAGAACATGGCATCATGTTCCTCTTCCTCTGGAAGAGTTATTTGTCAAACCAAATTTCTTGCAGTTCAGCAGCAGTTTCTCAATATTGGACCACTGAGATACGACAATGACTGCAGTTACCAAAACAAGCAAATAATCCCTGTTCTTTCCTCCCCAAACCTGAGGCCGACAAATTCTGATGAAAAACTCTTTCTAGGAAGCCTGCAGGAAGACAGGGAGATATCTTTTCATATGTGAATGGAGACCATGGGAGTGTATAATACGGAGGAACAGGGCTTTGAGGAATTCAGGTGAGTAAAGGGAGAGCTTTCAAAATACCTCATCAATATTTAGAAGATTTTTTTGTAGTGCGACTTCCAATAAGGATGGTGGTATCATGGCTGTGGGTTTAAAACAAGGTCTTTTTATGGATTAATTCTTCCAAATATTCAACACAATACAGCCCTGATACACGTCAACTTTGTGAAATTTAGGGCTGTGTACAATGAACACTTCTGCAAAAATAGCCACTTGGCTTAGGGTTAAAATGGGATTAATACTTTCCTAAAATCTGTCCTCCAACTGTGAATACTGAGTCCATTTGGAAATCGGATCATGGTATATGTTGTAAAGTTGTCACTTTCCTCACCAAAGGCATTTGGTGAAATATTATTTCAAATGTCTTCCTCCAGAGTCAACTATTCAAAGAGTCCCGTGGAAAAGATGACAGTATTTGAGAACATCGAAAACTGTTATATTTTCCATTTGAATGTTATTTCACAGTGGGAAGGAAGTATAAATTATAGCAATCAGTTGCCTCTACCACAGCATGTAGCAGAGCATAGTGCACAGCATTTAAGCATGAGTTGTGTCTTTTCTCATCTTTTGTGTTCCTTTTGCAGTTTTTGTTGGACTGTTGAAATAAACAAACTGATTAAATATACAGGGACTAGAGCTTAATTTTACATCAAAGTAGAATGAAGAGAAATGAAATCTTGTTCTTAAAGAGAATTGTTAACTGACACTCAGTAGAACAAAACCCAGCTTTTTGATGTCTTGATGTCAGGTCATCAAATATCTGATGACCACGTATTCAACGGATCACACAATAAAGCAAAAGAATGTAGAGAATTATACCTTCAGGTGGCAAAGTGGCCTAGTTCTATGAGCTCTCCAGGGCTCCACTGATTACTGGCATCTGAGTATCTGGTCTGCAGGAAGCAGCCTTAACAGATTCATCCTTCTCCCCAACCTATCTCCATAGTCCTGACAGTTGTGTCTATAGAGATCGACCATTTAGCAACGAATTGCATCTCTCTATGGTTAGCAAGCCATGGTCTAATCCTCAGTGGTCCCAATACACAACTCCATGGCCCCAAAATCACCTAGAACCTGCTTGTTCAACTTTCTGGTTCGCGATGGTCCGTTGCTTTCTAAAGGGACCATTTTAAAAGTAAGAGTCTTTTTACAGTGATCTCTTCTGTTGTCTGGCTCTAAACACAGAGAAGCACTGTGATGCGTACAGATAAACGACTCATATATACACTGTACCTAAAGACCTGAAGTAATTTTACTACTTTTTGGCCAGTTGTTTCCTTTAAGATAACATTTGCAGAGAAATTAAAATATTGTGGATAGGTCTGTTAGTGCCTGGCACCCTTCTGTAGCTGTTTATAAAATATTGTCCTTATCAATGTTTTTCAACCAAACTTTCTCTGGCCTGAACAGCTTGACTAATCACTTTGTCCAGTGATTAAGCATCTTTTTACAAATTCTAGAAGCTACACAGTTTTCATACCTGGAGGTATTTAAAAGACGGGTAGACGTGGTGCTCGAGGACATGGTTTAGTGGTGGACTTGGCAGTGCTAGGTTAACGGTTGGACTCGATGATCTTAAGGGTCTTTTCCAACCTTAACAATTCTATGATTCTGTGATTCATTCTAATAAACTGACAGCTTCTGCATGGTCTTAGCACATCTGTTGCATTCTTCACTAGTATTTGTCTTATTGTTTGTTTAATTTAGCTTTCTATTTCAGAGCACTGCAATGCCTTTCACAGCTGTTTTTCTAATCTCTGGGGTTCCTTTCCTGTTATTGTATCTTACATTAATTTACCATTTTACTTTCCACTTACACACTTCTGCTCTTCTCTTCCCACATTACTCTTTTCTTTGAAAAGTGTTTTCTATAGACAATGTCTATGATCAAAGCTCCAAATACAATTATTTTTCTTCTACTCTAGAATATAAAAGATGTTTTTTTTCCTGACAAAGGAAGCACTCAACACCTTCTTGAAAACTTGTGCCTAACTCTTCCTCTATCTCCTAAGTCTTGTTTGCAAATAGTTTACTACTATCCTAGTAGACTATAGAGGAATAGCTGGGTTATAGTAGCATACAGTTTTGGATAGTATGTTTTTCTTTATTAAATATTTCTCAGGAGGCGATCACTGACAAAATTTTATAGAAATGTCTTCCATTACTTCAGTTATGGAAGTGTTCATCATTTTAGATTTTACTAACTGTCCTCTCAGTTTTTAGATATATTCCTCTCAATTTTAGATATATTCTCAACCACGACTTGCTGAGGGAGGTGATTATTTTTTGCTCAATTTCTTCTGAATGGCTTAGGCAGCCACCCTATAAACCCAAAGATGCTCAGTGAACAAAGTATGCACAATACAGAAATAAACTGACTGAACCAAACCAAATTACAACAGCTTTCAGTGAAGTCTTAGTCACTTTCCGCACTCACAGAGAAACAAATACTGAATTGAGTTGTAAAATGTGATACATATCGTGTAACCTATTTTAGCGCACCATTCCAATGGATCAAAACATTGCCTGTGTTCATCACTGGATTTTGGATGACCAAAATTATATATCGAGGCAGCATATACCTTCCAGTGGTGCGGATGTGAAAGCATGGTTAAAAACAAGCACAAGCTGTAGAAAAAGATCTATGGTGAAGATGTAAACTATGAGATAAATCCAGTGATGTTCATGCACTCTAACGAAGGAGGTGAGGAAGAAGCGCATGCAGTACCTGGTGATCTCAGAGTCAGGGAGCAGGCCTACGTGGTAGTGGGGATAGGGAGCTGTAAGAAGGAAGCTTTTGTCACACTCGACAGGGGAATAGTGCCTAGGAGAAGGTGGTTTATCACACAGTTTGTTCACAGTGCTGTAAACAGGTTCAGGAGGCCTGGTGATACAGAGACAAGAGTAAAAGATCAGGTGTGTATTAGTGGCTGAGAATACAGAGAAAACACAGCAATCATTTTAAAAGCATGCATAGCAAATCTGTCAAGACCTTTTCAGCAGGGCTTTTCTGACAAGTAAAGTGTGCTGTTAAAGGAAACATTAGACTTTGATAACACAGTATTACGGCATACAAGAAACTGCATGTAAAGATATACACAATATAAGTGGGCCATAAAACTGGCTTATGGGAAGTGTGGCACTGAAAGGGAATACCTTATTTCTGAAGTTCAGTGATGAATTTTCCCACGCACTCTGCTTTCTTTTTTTATTTTAATCTAACGATATTACTTCTGCATAGTTTCTGTGATCTTAATTTGAGCATTGCATAGAAGAAAATACCATGTTATTACCTGAAAAGAGGTATTTTTTACCCATTAATTTAAGATAAAGATGAAGTACATATTACTTGTTAATACAACATATTCCTTCCCCGATGAGCTGGGGCTCTGCACGGAGAGCTCTGGTCAAAGTGAGTCATATCCTATAATAACACTGATGGTAAAAAACTGTGTAAGCAATTCATTTCATTGGATGGCAATTCATTTCATTTCAAGAGTTCTTTGCTCTCCTTTCAGATTCAGACTTCAAAATCTGATTATGCAGACCACATCTCAAACAGTTAACCTCGTTGACAAACCTACTGCATACGCACTTGCACTGCTGCTCCAAATTACAGACAGCAGCCTGCGAAGCTAGATACAAAGAATAAGATCCTAAAACTGAACTGACAGGTCACCTAGCATTTCTCTCCTGCTGCCTAGAGGCCACCCACTTGGGAGAGGCAATACTTACCAAAAACCTCCCAGGGAGCCGCCTGGGGAGAGGGGAGAAGGGGATGCAGCCTTTAGTACCAACCAGCCAGGGATCCACAGGAGACAACCAGCAAACAGTTTTCAAAAAAATGCACCACATATAGTACATTTCCTGTCATGCAACTTCTCCAACTACTGCGTTGGCCCCAGCAGATACCTCTGGGCCTACTGGCAGAGTGAAACTTGACTCATAATTTCCTGAAGTTTCTGTGCTAAAGAGTGCCAAGATGCAATTGCTGTCATATCTTTGTTTCTGCCAGAAGATCCAGGGTATGCCACTGTCTTTAATCACAGCAATACAGTATTAGCTAGATGAAAATCTTATTTCAGAAGCCTGAAAATATCAAGAGGCCAAGCAGTTAATGAACTCTTTTTGTTCTTCTGGCTGCACTGTGCCTCTCATGGGTGTGGTTTTTGCTGTGACTTTCACAGGTACCAGAATTTATTACGGTCGTGGATGCACTGGCAGATGCAGAGAACATATTTTCCTTTGTTGTTAGCTTCTGGTTTTGTCCTTTGGGGGAAAAGGAGTAGCTGCTTTACGTAAAAATTGGTCTCGCTCGATGCTAATAACATTATTCATAGCAATCTGACATATGATTTGAGAACTCTCTGTGCCTGACTTTCCCAGGGAAAACTTTACAGTTAAAAAAATGGCAATTTAAGATTACCAAATATCAAAATAGCAAAGCTGTCACTCATTTGGTTATAAAGCATTCTGTCAAGCATTTAGTAAAAACCCTTTAAAAATGTTTAAGGTAGCAATTCCTTTTTATCAGCATATTTCACACTTGTTTCAGAGGGTTAGATTTAATAATTTATTTACTAAATCAATTGCTGCTTTCAATACAAAAAATCCAGAGAAAAAAACACTTCTGTTATTTTACTTTAGACCAATACGTCTTTTATTCCCTCAGAAATCACTTTTGATTTTAGGCAGTATATTAAAGAACAAGTACAAATATCAAATATAAGTGGTACCTACTATGAAAATTGAAGTGCAGGAAGCTGAATAAAACCTGTAGATGTCTCCAGGGCTTAGAACACTAACCAGTCCATAAACAACTTGCTAGCTTCCTATATATAAGTTACTTCTCTTCTCTGAGTGGTAGATGACATGACAGTGTCGCTACCCCTTGGATATTTTGTGAATGTTCAGACTACACTGAGTCATCAGTGAGTGACCATCCAACCTTGTGCTGAGACACAAATCATGCCGCAGAGATGGATAGATACGAGGGACTGCTCTGTTAATTGATGGTTACAAACTGCTTCCAAAAGCAAAATGAAGGTAAACATTCAACATCTACCTAGATATTGAGAATTACTCCTTCAAATACAAATACAGACCCCTAACAAAATATCTTGCAAAGCCCAGGAAATTTTAAAACATTTAATATTTTTCACTCCTTTCAGTCTTGCTGGGTGGTAAGATAACAGCAAATTGGAACAAGTCACCGCACGGATGTATGAAGTCCTCTACTCATTGGTATCATATAAGTGATATTGTGATGTAGCTAACAACATACCCTCTGTAACTGAGCTGACAAGAGAGGTCTTAAGGTTAAGGAATCCGAACTTCTTACCCTTTTAAAGCTTGGACTCTTGACTTATTCAGCTAATTCCACTTATGAGTGCATTTCTTGTAAGGCCTGTGAACTGGTCTGAGATCATCATAGCCACCTATTTACCATCAGGTGTTATTCTTCAAGGTCATTAAGATCATGGACTAAACTGATTCTTTAGATACCTTCATACTACTTGGATGCATATGCTAATACTGCCAGTTGCATAGCTGGGCCCTGGCTGCACATTTTATTGGCACAGAGAAGCAAGAACTTGAAAAATAAGCAGTATGTAACATCAAAGGTCCAGCTCAGATCAGTATAAACTTATTTTCTATCTCAATTTGATTTAGTAAATATAAATTAAATAGTGTAAAAGTAATTGAAAGTTGGGATAAAAAATGGAAAGGAAGAAAATGATTAAAACATACTGGGCAGATCACTGTCTTGGTCATACAAACTGGGCTTCGTGTAGGCCAGTAATCCTTAAAAGTATTATGAGATACTTGCTCCAACAGACTGTCTTCAAATATCCTCCTCACTCTTGCCCTTCTCTATGGCAAACTAGTACTTAGCTACACTAGTACCTACCTACTTTGGAAGACAACAATCCCAAATTAAAAAAAAAAAACAAACAGATAATTACAAAGACAACCCAGCTTTATTAAATGATTCATCTAATGCAGCATTTTCTCTTGTCATTTATATTTCTCCTCACTGCAAGAAGAACTTCTGACCAATGGGATCAGCCCACCTGGTAAATCCTGTCTCGCGTATCTTCTCCAGTGCTATGACAGAGACAGGTTGTCTTCTCTCAAAGCATGGGATAAGGAGAATGCTATTTCAAAATAGTTTCTAATGAGCCATTCTGAAAAAATGCAGTCAAGGTCACCTTAACTTTTCTTGCAGAATAATTAAGAGCCAGACTGAACATAAACATTGTGGCCTTATTTTATGATGCATTAATTCTTCAAATGAATTTAAAAACATGTAGCAGGTCATTTAGCATGCTGTAACAAAAGTGTAAAAGCTAGATATGTGTTACTTAAGGACTAATTCACTGTAGTTTATTTGCAGTTGCATCACTTTCAGATACAGCAGGTATAGCTTCAGAGGTTCTGTCTTATTTAAAATAAATACTAAGCAATTTTTGTAATTTTTAACATGAGAAAGAACAAAGAACTATGTTAGGGAATTTATTTTGTCCATTATCTTCTTTTTTTTTTTAATACTTATGCAAAAAATCCCCTTAAAATGCCAAATGTGTGAATATTACAGTATACTTCTTCGTTAATTGTAATATTTATTTTAATGAGTAATTATCTAATATGGGTCTGCTCTGAAAAATAACTAACTGCTACTGTAACTTCTTATTTAGCAGATCTGCTCCCTTTCTGTCTTTAAACTGTTTATTTAGTGACACATACATTGCAGTCCTCTGTCTTTATCAGTGAGCTAAAAACCGAGCTCTGGGATGAATGAGAGCAGCAACTGCTAGGTCTAGATGAACAGCAATAATTAGGTTAGCATGAGAATCAGGCATACGATAGTAGAGGCAAGGCAACAGAAAATTTAAGTAGTAGCATAGCTTGGCTTGAGCATGCCTCAGTAGATAATTCAATCACAAGAGAGAGAATCAAGTCACTTAGTGCCACAAGGTAAGCTTTTAAATGGTAGTATGAATAGCAGATAGTCATAGACTACTTTTCTACCCAAACAAAAAAAAAAAAAATTGAAAGCTGGAATTGTTAATCGGCATAGACCTAACTGCAATGAGGCACAATTTCCACAGAAAGGTATAACTAATTGATGGAAAAGCTAACAGTAACAGTGGGAGGTAGAAGATTGATCCGACACTGGTTTTATTTATTTATTTCATAACAGATTGTGTAAAGAAAGCAAATCTTCCTAGGTGTTTGTAGTCCTCATTATTCCTTGTTTGGATCATCATTGTGTTATTGTTTCAGGCTGGCTTTATTGCACAACAGAAGTTCTAATAAAATGGCATTATTAAAACCATTCTCTCCTCAGTATCGTGCAGGGTCCCCAATTTAATTTTTTTTATTTAGAGTCCTGTTTGGTAGGGTTCAGTTGCCAACACATAGCACATTAAATGTTAACAGTTTAATTTTTTGGATTTTAAAACCTTTTATGATATGGAAAGAAACCAGCTAAGCTCTCACAGCGTATTGAGTATGCAGGACTATAGCCAGGAAACATTAAATTCAATCTGAGAGAAAATGAATCTCACAATTCTACAAGTTTCCAACATTTTTTTTGAGTATTGATTTTTAATTGTACCCACGTTCAGTCAAGACAACTAATACATTAGTATTGCTAATATAATGTTGCTGGGAAGTGTGCAAAGAACTGCCTTTAAGAGTATATCGCTATTAAAACAAAAATCAATGGCAATTTAATACAAACGAACTCTTCCAATTCTAATAACCAGTGATTTTTATATATATATATGTCTTTTGACTTCTTTTAGTTTCTTGTTGATATAACCTTCTAGGAGAACCACATACCTTATTGTTCAATAGGTTTATTTAGAATTGAAAGTT